CGTCACCCTGGGCCTGGGACCATCGCGGTGCAGGTTGTGGAGGTTTTTGTATTAAATTAGAAGAAAATTAGCAAATAACGGTGATATGAGGGAAGGTACCTGTGGCCCGAGCGCTCGCCCTCCTTGCTTTTCCTTGAGGCTTTTTGAGCTCCACAGGGAGCAGTAAAACAAACTAAAAAACCCTGAGAATGGCAGGAGTTTTACAGATTTCTTACCCAAGGCCCCGAGCTGTGGTCAGCGGGGATTTTGGCCTCTTTCCCCCCTACTCTTCTCACTTTTGAGGAAACTTCCCCTTCTTTCCAGGAACTTGTCCCTACTGCTCACTAGAACTCCAGCATGGTTTTCCAGGACATTGCCCTTTGTTTTCCAGGAAATTTCCCCCTTCCTTCCTAAGAAATCTCCTTATCACTTTCCAGGAACTTTCCCTTCCGCTTTGCAGGGTATTTCCCCCTCATTACTTTCCAGGAAATTCCTCCCTTGCTTCCTGGGAAATCTCCTTGTTGCTTTCTGGAGTCCTCCATTGCTTTCTAGCAATTTTCTCTCTGCTTACTGGACTTGTATTGCTTCCTAGGAATTTTCCCCATGACTCTTGCTTCCGGGGAAGCAAGAAATTATTGCCCAAGAAATCTCAGTCCAGGAAATTTCCCTTTTGATTTCCAGCAATTCCTCCTTTGCTTTCTGGGAAATTTCCCCTCTAGGAAATATCACTGTTACTTCCTTAAGAAATGTCACTTTTGCTTTTCCGGAATTTCCCTGGTATTTGAGGAAATTTCCTCCCTGCTTTCTAGGAATTTTCCTCCTTTGACTTCTAGGCTATATCTCACCTATGGCCTCCTAGGAAGTTCCCCCATTGCTTTCTACAAATTTCCAGAATATTTCCTCTTTTGAGGAATTCCTCCTAGTGCTCTCAAGGAAATTCCTACCTTGTCGTGCAGTACATTTCTCCTTTGTTTCCAAGGATATTTTACTGTAGCTTTGGTTTCCCTTTGCTTTCCAGCAATTTCCCTATTAGTTTCCAGGAAATTTCCCTTTTGCTTTGTAGGAATTTTCCCCCCAGGGCTTTAGGAAATTCCCTCATTGGGTTGTTCCAGGAAATTCCATCCGCCTGAACCCAGGACAGGGCCATACGACACCTCCACCAAGATACATTTAACCATCACAAAACCCAAACTGGAGCCGCGAGCGCCACGGGTGGGGCATAAGCAAGGGATGGAGGGGGGGGACAGACGGAATGACACACGACACGGGACAAGGACGATGGAAAAGGGCCTGGGGTGGGGACCAGGGAGGATGCACAAGGAGTTGACCCCGTGCTGGCTGTTGTCCCCTGCCTTGGGGACAAGCGGTACCCGCAGGGAGGGGAGCAGAAATGTGTTTTTCGAAGTGTATTTATTCACTTTTATTCCTCACTACCGCATTCAGTGCTTAGAGGTTTCTGTTAACTGGTGATTAACTGAGTTGATGGGAATTTTCCCATTTTAAATTCTTGGGTTTTTGGCCAGCGGCACCCTGCCTGCCTGGGGGCGTCCTGCAGGGCCACGGTCACCATTCCCTGCCACCTCCCCATGTCCTCCTGTCCAAGCAGCTAAAAATCAGCCTCCTTTAGGTCACCAGCTCCAAGGTGGTGGAAGAAGAGCTGGAGAATTCAGGAGGAAGAGTCATTTTTGCAAAGAAGTTTTTAAAAGCATCCCAAAGGACAAGGAGAAATTTCCCTGAACCCCAGCCTTTCACTGCACCATGTTCTCCTCCAAATGTAACCTCACAACATAATTCTTTTGGGGAACCCTTCTCGTAAATCACAAAGCAGCAAGGAACGGGGCACCTTAAAAAAAAAAAAAAAGAATCTTTCTCTTTTAATCCACCCAAGGGAAATCCAGAGCAAGAGCAGCATCACAGCACTACACACAGCACAGACATCTGTCATTGCTTTTGCACAGATTCCTTCCCAGATACACGAAGAAGTCATTAAGAAAAAACCAAAAATTATTCACGTAGGCAAAGTGACAAGTAACAAATCAGCCACAGAACAACTTTTTCGAAGAGAAAAAGGATGCATCAAGGAAGAAGGCCTTCAACATACAGGTTTTGCAAAAACCTAACTCAAGAATGCCGAAATAGCGGTGGTTTTCTTTTAAACATTAAAAACAGGGATTTCTTTTTAAATTAACTTAAATACACATTTGAAACACAAACACCAAGCAGATGCCTGGAGAACAAAGTGAAAAGAAGAAGGAATGAAAAATGAATTCGACCAGTTTAATTTAAACACCAAAGTCGGGTGGATTGCACCAAATGGAATAAATAATGGAGAAGATCACGCTGGGTTGGTAGATCTCACACTTAAAGATCATTTAAAGTAGAATTACACAGCCCAGGAGAGTACTGAAGGAGGAAGTCTCCTCTGACAAGTGACGTTAGCTGGGGCAGCGTCCCTCGGACAGAGCGGGTTGTAGGTGTGGATTTGTCCCCTGCCATCCACCAACGATCACCACCCAGAAACAAACAGGATGACAAATTTTTGGGATCCAGAGGACTTGACCCCGCAATCACACAGAGGCAAACAGCCCCTCGCTCGGTGTGTGGGAACCCTCTGCCTCTTCGATACCGGCTGGCTCCAAACACGCCCAAGTCAAACATCAAACCACAACCAGACCTTGTGTTTTCACCTTGCAAGGTGAGCACACAGGTGTGGCGTTTCTAGCACGGCTCCTTAAGGTTGGGCACTGCAGAAGCAGAGTGGGAACCTCCTTTCACACACCTGGGGCCAGGCTGGAAAAAAAAAATGTTTTAAAAATCAGCTAATCTACACCTGCGGCCACCGCTTTGTCAGCCCAGGGGTGGGCAGGCTGAAGGAATGTAAGTGGTTTCTTGTTGTTTGGTTTTTCCCTCCCCACAACCCCTGCTAAAAACAAAACAAAACAAAAACCCAAACAAACAAACACAAAAAAACCTAACAAAAATAACTTGATCCCAAGTTCTTCTCCCTCTCTGGCCCGTAGCTGAGCAGGGAAGCACCTTCAGACATTCGTGTGATCCCACAGACATGTTCCCTACAGAGCAGACATCTCATCTCTGCACCTCACCCCGATGTGCCTGTGACACCTAGTTAGGAGGGACATCCCTTTGCTTTAAAACAAACAGAATTACAAAAATCAATAGCAACGATCCCCTTTCCCTCCCTCTGATCTCCAAGAAGTTCATCTAAGTCCAACTCGTTTTTGAGAAAGGGAGAAGGGTGAAGGTTTCCAGGCCAAGGAACTTGCTAGATCCAGCATCCCCTCCACCGGCGATGAGATGAGCCCCCTTTGCATGGTGCCTGCTCTCGACCCAGAGCCAGCAGAGCCAAGGAGGGGCTGAGGGGACACAGCTGCCCCTCCAGCTCCTCCTCAGAGAGCTGGCAACTCCAGGAAAAAAAGAGGGCGGACTGAGGTGGATGAGGATTCGGGTTATGCCTTTCCTATCCTTCTTCCTCCCCAAGGCTGGGAGGAGACTTCTGGGTCTGCAAACCCAGTCTGTGCTTACCAGTGTCCTTAAGAATGACAATTTAAAAACAAAAAAAAAAAAAAGAGGAAAGAGAGGGAAAAAAAAATAATGATATGCATAATTAGGTGTTGTCCGTGGAAGGAGTGGGAGGGGGCAGGTTCCAGATCGAGACAGAAAAGGGACTCTCTCCCTCCCCGCATTCGCTCGTCTGGAGATGTCCCCTCAGCATCCCTGCGCGAACCCGTTGTGCTGTTGCTCTGACATCAATCAACATGGATGATGAACACGGGGATGAATTCAGCACTGCAGAGGACGGGAGGGCACACACAGGCATGTCGGGGCTAGGCCCGGTGCTTGGGGAGCATGTCCAGCAGGAACTCCGCGATGCCGATGAAGTAGACGACTTGTGCGATGCCGAAGAGAGGAGCAATGACCAGGGCTCGGCAGTACGCCCCTTTCAGGAAGGCCATGGGCCCTTCCTTCTGCCAGATCTTCCTGGGGAGAAACACCACAGACAGGTAAGTGTCCATCTCACCCCTCCACCCCACCAGGAGAGCCTCTGGCTGTGCCCTGGGCTTTCTGCCTCCCTCCAGAGACTAAACCCAGGTAAGCGCTGTCACCTGGCACTGCCTCCACAGCAGATCATCCACCATCACGTGGATGATCCCGCACAGACTGCGAGGAAACATGCCCCATCCCGATGTCTGGCCAGGAGCAGGAGCATCTGCCTGGGTCTGGATGTACAGCTAAGACAACCCCGTGCTTGCATCAAGAGATTCCCCTGCTCAAAAGGTGGGGCCAAACTTCACCCTCAGTATGGGACACAGCCAGATGGCAAGAGCCTCTGCCTACAACAGCAAGACAGAAGCAGAAGGTTTGTGTTTTGAAATTCCCTTCATGTTTTGAAGCAGCCAGACTGCAGTTTAGCAAAGGGTCAGAGGAGAGTGTGGCCAGGGACAGCCCACTTGGACAATGCTCCTTGCAGCCCGTCCTGGGAGGGATACGAGACTTAACACTGTAGGATTTTCAGACAACAGGGCCTTGGCAGCATTGCCTCCCTTGGCAGAAATAAAATCTCCGTGTTATGGCTGTTGGGGTTCGGACAGAAGAATTTAAACATAAATGCTACATTTACCTTGCTCAAAATAGGAAGCAGCTCTCTTTTATGTACCTATATATATGAACAGTACATATCTGGTCACGTATGTATCCACATAGACAGATAAAAGCACAGGTTCTGAGGGAACCTGAAACAGAGAAGCTGCTGGTTGGGTCAAGAAGCTGCAGTGACTGCCTGGGAGCGGGCAGCAGCAGATGCCGTACACCTGCTGCGGTGGCCTGTTTAACGAGGAGACTTACTTGGTGCAATCCAGGATCCCTGAGTAGGTGTCCTCGTTCACCCCTCTCTGCAAGGACTGCAGCCGCGTTTTGATCACTGGGGCAGAAAGAGAGTTGGTGGTGAGCGCTGGGAATGTACCATGCTCTTCAGCAGGCGAGAGCCAGCCTGAGAGTAATGTCTTTGAAGCACAGTCAAAATGAGCTCACCAAGATCACAGAGCATTTTCACGTATTCATCAGCAAAACAGAGGAAAACAAACCCACTCCCTTTACAAATGGATAAAAGAAAAACAGCCACCCAAAAACCAACCCCCTCCCCTCACTGTGACCAAGATTTCCAAGTTGACTTCAGCTTTAAACACTTCCAAATTCAGATATTTTTCTGCAAAGTGGGAACGGATTCTGAAATACTCAGCTCCTTCTGGAAGAAGTGTCTAAAACATATGATGCTGCTCTTACATTTCTTCACACCTCGGAGCGTGTGTAGTGTTGGGGAGAGAGGAGTTACTCTCTGGTGTTTTTCACAGCAGAGAAATCGAGGTGGTATTTAAGGTAGGTGCTGCGGAGACGGAGAAAAGGCCACAGATCTGAGGCTCCCCCTCGTTGTCCATGACCATATGCACGTAAACGGTCTGCACACTATCACTCCACATGGAAAGGTGCCTTTTCAGGGACATGTTCGCAGCCATTCCTGCGAAGAATGACTGTAATGAATGACATCCTCCTCCTGACTTACCCAGCGAGTACCGCAAACCTCTGTGCGAGCTGTGGCCAAAGGTATCGCTCAGCTGAAGGAAACATCACCTGAGCTGCAGGCAGCGGAGCTCCCTTCCTGTACCTCCCTCTGCACTCACATGCTCTAAAGAGGCTGGCATGGTCATCCTCCTCCTCACCTAGCCCGCCTGCGGGCCTCTGACTTGTGTCACTTGGTACCAGGCCACCAGCACAGGCTACTTGGGACTCACCATCGCAAGGATTGACAGCCACCGCAGCCGTACTGCCAGCCACACATCCAGAGAGGAAGGACACATAGAACGGAGCCTTGACATTGGGGTCTTTCTGGCCCAGCTTGTTCAGGTTTGCAAACAGCGGGAAGTAAACAATGGAGAACGGGACATCCCTGCAGTGGGGAGGGAGGAGGGGGAAAAGAAAGAAGGACAAGGATGAGCAGTCAGAGCAGGGACACCAACTAACTGAGCACCAAAGGAAGGGCTGCAAGCATCACGTGTTGGCAGCACAGCCACGAGTGCAATGCAGACATCCCAGCTCCGCGCTCGCAATGCAGACAGGAGCTGAAACTCAGGAGGGGCAAAACTGAGGGCACAAAGGACAACAGTCCCCTGGGAGGCAGCCCTCCTCAGTTAACAGCCTACCCTTGATTTTTCAACACTCCAGCTGAAGACCCCAGCACATTCAGAGGTCAATCATTTTGTCCACTTTCGCTCATTACAAGAGGTTCGCATCCCGTGCCCCATCCCACTGCGCGTTGCTTTAGCTCTGCCTTTGTTACAGCTAGAGGAGAGTCACTCTGTGAAAGCCCAGGTAAAGAGCATCACAGAAGGCACCAGTCCTTGCATCCAACGCGCTCCATGGGCCAGAAACGGTTTCATGCTCTGGAGACTCAGGCTGACAGTTTTGCTTTCACAGCTCACAAAGACTTCTCTACAGCGTTAAAATATAGATCCCAGGGGAGACAAAAACCTTCCGCAGAAAGCAGCAGAATTAAATCTTCCAGGAACAAAAAGGCAGCCTCCCTCTCTTCCCTGACCTTCACTTCTTCAGTGCACAAAACCTATGCATGGAAACCAAACCGAATCAAACCCACACGCCCTGAAGCCAACACCTCCTTTGCAGGCTCATCCCCAGCACGGCTGGTGCTTTACTGGGAACACTGGTGCCCTGCTCTCGAGCCCATGCCATCCTACCTTAGCAGCGTGGCTCCCAGGCCCTTGTAGAGTCCCGCGATGCCTTTGCTCCGCAGCAGCTCCCTTGTTATCTGTGTTGCTGTGGTACGTCTTTCCATCACTGGCTCGGCCGCCGAGGAAGAGGAGAGCTGGGCCTGCGCTGCCATCAGCTTCTTCTGTGCCGCTGAGGAGGAGCAGAGAGAGCACTGGGCTGCAAGACGTTCACCAGCCGTCTCTTGCTGCCCAGTGCCATGGGACAAGGAGGAAAAGGCAGATCTCCAGATGCACTAGAACATGCAGACTAAGGCTCCCTGCAAGCTTTTGCTCCCATTCTGCCCATCTCCCTCAGCCTGAGACAACCCAGCTCATCCCAGTCTCAGAGCTGGCTGCCGCCATACCACAACAGGATCTGTTGTGCTCTACAACCAACTGGTTTTACCGAAGCAGGAGCAGCCCATCACGCACGACCTCCACAGCGCAGAGAAAAGGAGCGGTCGTGAGCAGGCAGATGATAGTACCTGCTGCCAGCGACATCCCCGAGCCCCCGGTAGGAGACAAACGAAAAATATTCATAAACGAGAGAGGTTCAATAGTTCTGTTCTTTGCTTCCTTCCCTCGAAAGCAATCATTAATCTGAGGAGCCACATTTACAAACTCAACTCAAATTTAATCTCAGCCACATTTACAAACCCAATCGGGTTTCTCCCAGCCTTTTCAAGCTGAAGCATTTCTGCTCTTTGGCCAGAAGATGGAGAGCACATCAATCTATAGGCGATCCTCTGGCTGCCACCGGCACACCACACGTCTCTTGCCATACCGAGAACAGGCTGTTCACAGCAGCAAAAACCTCTTCTGAACCCTCAAACCATGGCTTAATTCCTTCCAACATTTTACAATAATACGCACAAAGAGGATAAGGTCTGCATTAAAAACAACGAAGAGAGGAAAGAAAAAGTAAATCCATGATTATTCAGGAATATCACATCAAAGGAGAGATTAAGGGACAAATTGGCCCATTTTCCAGGAAGGGCCACAAACGTGGTATCTAATAGTGTCACGCAGGTCTCCTGGGGAACGAGGCCATACCCTGGGCTGACCTCTGGAAGAGAGTAAAGCGATAGCAAACAGCTCTTTCTCCATGCCAGGCTCTGGTCTCCATTCTCACCAGAAACACCCCACAGTGCTTCAGCCAAAAGGCTCGCACTCCCTCCTGCCTCTGCCTGCCAGCTCCTGACCACAGCCCTGAGAGCCTGACCCCAAACCTCTCCCAAATCCAGTGCGCTGGGAGAATTTTATTTACTGTTTCAGCCGAGACAACTGCTGCTTTTGTCAGGAAGGAAAAAAAAAAAAAAGAGAGAGAGAGAGTAAGAGGGGAGACAAGTCATTTGGAAAGGACACATCCCCTTGGGAAGCTGTTAGGGAGGTGTTCCAGGGGGTAGAAGAGAGAGAATAGATATCAGAAAACATGGAGATGGAGGAAGCACCACAGAAAGAGCACTGGAGGATGCTAATCCCTTCTTGAGTGCACAGCAACTAACAAGTTTTAATCACAAGCTGACCACCCAGTCATCTCTCCTGTCTCTCTCCATCCTCCAGCAGTGTTCGCTATTTCATTAGCCAAGCCTATTGCTTTGAGCAAAAAAACCCCAAAAACATCACCTTTTGTAACTGCAAGAGCCTCTGCAATGCCAGGTGTGCAAAGGCGGGGGGGGAAGTGAGATGGAAAGAGGAGGAGAAACTTCTGCTACAGCCTGAGATAGATCTGACTTGGGAGAGCAGGGAGAAGAAAAAGGGTTTTCTCCGCTCGTTCCCTCTCCCTCTGCCTTGACAGCTCCATCCCAGCCCTTCCCCGCTGCCTGCTCCGTGCACCAGGACGAGAAGCCCACGTACCAATTCTCCCTGCATCCTGCAGCTGGATTTTGAGCATCTCCATGGGAGTGGTGACAATCACCTGGCAGGTACCCGCGCCGCAGCCCGCCAGCATCTCCCTCAGCAGCGTCAGCTTTTTCCTGCCCAAAAAAAAAGAGAGAAAGAATCAATCGGAGGAGATATAACACAACCCTCTCCATACCCAGACAGAGAGCTGCAGCTCTCTTCCAGCTCGGTGTTGCCCCAGGTCAGGGCACAGCCTTCAGAAAGGGTATCGCTTCAGAGGGCAGTGGAGGATCTCAGCATTAAGGGGGATAAGCAGCTTTCCTTCTGCCAGCCTAGTCCTTTAAACACCATCAACATCCCCACAAAAAAAATAGAGACCACAGGGCAAGGAGCAAGGGGGGAAAAATATTCAAGTTGCCGTTTTGGAGTTCTCCGACAAAAGCAAAATAAATAAGCAGTGAATATGAGAGTCAGGGAGGCAGTTCCCCTGCGGTTAGGAGCTTCTTCACCTCACCAGCTTTTCCAAACCTGAAAAAGTAGCCTTTGCACTAAACTGGTCCTGCCTGATGGACAAGGGATGAGACGGACCCCCAGCACTGCAGCTTTGTGCATCCTCTGCACTAGAGAGCAGGGATTACCAGAGACATGTTCATGCCTAACAAAATGCAGCATTTCAGAGCTCTTTCTATCCCAGAGCCACGATACAGCCCCGCTAAGGCTAAAAAGAGAAACTCAGGCTGCAAATGCTCGGAAAGCCTCAGTTTTCAGAAGCTGATAAGTTTTCACTCTGTAAAAAAATCTCACCCTTTGGCACCAGAAAACACTGACTTGATTTAAAAAAAAAAAAAAATACCTCTGACCTGCTCTTTTTTAAAAGGGGAAGAAAAAAAAAGCAGATATAAATCACACAGCCAGAGGGAAACAGCCTCCTCTTTTTTTCTGTTTTAAATGCAAGTGCTATTTTTACTCCCCCCAGCCCTGCTCCTGCACCAGTATTTCATCTTAACCTCCTCAAGGCGAGTCCCCACGCTATGACAAAACCAGTCCCACAACAATATCCCTATTCCCTTGCAAAAACCAAGCCACACTCCCTTACCGGGGGTTTCATACGCACGCACACACAGCATAGCTGTAGCACTGCGAGTCAGCAAAGAATCACAGAATCATTTAGGTTGGAAAGGACCTTTAAGCTCATCGAGTCCAACCGTAGGAGTTTCAATGCCAACCCTACAGAAAAAGAAGGGGAGATGTGCTGTAATCCTGCTGGCCCACCACATCAGCCGGGCCGATTTCTCCACCTCTTGTCTTCTCCAGGGAGGATATCGGAGCAGGGGATTAGAGGCACAGAGCCACAAAAGAGATTACCAGTGTCTAAATATAGAGCTCTCCTGTGAAGCTGAAGGGAGGAACATTGCACAATCTCCCCTTTCCAAATTCTCCCATAGATGAGAAGCTGCAAAGAACAATCCCACCCGCGGAGTTACCCACACGGGCGCTGAAGGGTGCGCAGCAAGCTTTCCTGGAGGTACGCAGGTATCAGGGTGTGCAAATCCAGAGGTCCTCCCTGACACCCACACCTGGAGGTGGCCAACTTGGGTGCTTCTTGGGCTGCCTGAGGCACGATGTCAATCTCTGTGCAGCTTGATACGGTCAGCAACAAGGCTGCACAACCCCTAGCCCACCCGTGGAAGGAAGCAAACCACCCAAAGAAGTTGGCTGCCGGTCCCTGTCTATGCCACAGCAGAGCATCTCCCATTTTAGCAAGAGCCCTGGAGCATCCCTGGAGTACAGGTCTCCTGGGTTTCATCCAGGGCGACCGCTTTGATACCTAGTTCAAAAGATCAGGAAGATTTGCCCTATTTGTTCGTCTGTGGACCATTATCTCAGCCAACAAAAGTCAGTCTGGCTTGACTGAACTCTGTGGAGCTACGCCAGTGAGACCCAGTGAAGGATTTATGTGCGTGGGTGTGTTTTAGAGATGTCAGAGAGGTACATCAAAAGCATCCAGAACAAGGGCTTTCAGCTTTCGGTTTGCATATGCTGGGATCTGAAGGAGTCCAAGAAAAAAATAGCCTAAGATAAGCAAATCTTTTGTCAGGAAGTTTAAAATTTGCCATATTGGGGGGTCAAACTCCTTTTACAAAATCTCACCAGTCTGCACATAAAAGGAGTTCGAAAACGGTTCATCTCTGGATGACAAAGGAGTTTAAATATTTAAGGCATCACAGGCCTTATCCTCAGTGGTTTAAAAACTGGCACATCTCAACTAACTTCAAAAGCTGCAACACCAGCAAGAATCTGGTCCTACAAATGCAGAAACCATCTTTTATCACAGCAAGAGGGTGTTAAATATAACATATACACAACAGCCCCAAATTCTGCGCTGGCAGAAATCAGTCGTTCCACTTCTTTAACTGACATGTAATTTATTAGTGACAAATCAACAATGTCAAATAGGAAGGGGAGAAGATTCATCCTCGATCTAAATTAAGAGCTTTAAACTAGAGCTGAAAAAAAAGTCAAAAAGCAGGAACTAGAGGTTTATGGTGGGCTTTTCAAGAGCAATGCATTGGTCCAAAGCTTGGATCTCTGAAAGCATTGGTATATTGATGTCACGTGGGAGCAGAGTAGGGTTTTTTTTCAAGTTTCTGAAAAAATCTTGACCGTGTAGGAGTTGACTCTGCTTGGGCAGGGACCAAAACCAGCCATTCTGGAATAAGGATGACAAGATTTCCAAAGACAGGAAATCTTTGACCTAAAGAAACATCCATACAAAGCCATTCATTTCTATTTGCTACCCAAGAGGCTACTGTCCCCAGCTTGGACATCACCTTCCTCACTCATAAAATAACCTCTGCCTCTGGTCTCTCAACCCAACAGATTGCAGAAAGCTCCCCAAGAATTTCAAATCAGAGTCAGCTGCTTTCAAACAATTTAAATAGCAGGTCTTTCATACGGGTTAGGGGATGAACACACAGGAGTTTGTCCTTCAAAAGGAGGGCAATCTGTCTGCCACAGCCACATGGGGACGTGGACACAAACTCCAGTCAGTCCCTTTAACCCAAGCCCTGATCTTCCAAGAGGGAACAACAAGCAATTGCAACCACACTTCAGAAAAGCTGGAGCTATGATGCTGGGAAATGGAAAAGCAAGAAAGTTCCCATTATAAGCTCCCTCTCGCTTCTAGTGCCAGCTTAAAAATGCCTCAGACAAGCAAAAGAAAGCACTGATGTGGGATAGATCCACCTCAAAGTAACGCCACCAAACTAAACGTTGCTCTGGCAGATGTTACTCCAGGTATGGTACAACCTACCTCTGTGTTGTGTATTTGGACTAAGTCAAGAGGAAGGCGACTCTGTGCCTGCACCCATTCAATGAGCTTTGTCCTGGTGGGAGATCCCAAGTGTTTTGGTCCAATATGAATGTCTGTGGAAGTGAGCAATGCACAGGGCAACACGGCTGGGCACGTTAAACACGGACACAACCCGTGTTTTGTCCCAAGACATGCGCCTGGAATGGAGACAAGGGCAATGTTCCTCTCATGGATGTTTTCTGTGATTAAACAGCCCATCTCTAGCTCCCTCCAGATTAACAGTTGAAAGTGCATTTACTTTCTGGCTGACCTTTGATGGCTACAACTTCAACTCACTGTAATTCCTTGAGCCTCTGTGTGCTAAATAGAAGAGCCGCCCCAGTAGCTATCCCTGAATAGGCACAGTGAAATTATCAGCTCTTAACTGGTTCTTTCTCTAGAGGAAGGGCTGGATTCCCCCACTTACAAGTCCCAGAGGGCTGGATGAGGGTTATCTGCCTTCAAGAAGTGTCTGGACATCCAGTGGATAACTACAGGAGAGGTTGCCTTGGCCCACAAGTGTTCCTGTCCATGAAAGCTGGAACACGGTGTGTGCAAGGTGACACAGCAGCTCAGCACCAGGACTAGCAGCAGCATCCCTCCTTCCTAAATCAAGAGCCTCACTTTACAGCCTGCCTGTGAGCATTTTGCAGCAGATCAACCAAGCCATGCAACGGCTACTTAAACAGATGCCACAGAAGAGATGCTCCGAGTATTTTAGAAGAGGCTGAAAGAGGAGCAGATGAAGGAAGGAGCCCTGGGGAGATGTATCAGCCGGGAAGGCAACAGAGAACAAGCTCCAGTTTCCCCATCGGTATGGGGGAGATGGAAAAGTCCCTTGCTAGTCTCAGGATTACAGTTGGCTATTTCTCTTCTCTGAGCAAAGCTACAAGGCAGGGGGAAGAGGAGAGGAAGAAAATTTGCTGGCATCAGCAAAGTCACAATTGACGCAATTGTGTTGGTCTTCCTAGGAATCCGAGCTGCTAAGTCAGCAGATTGCCAGCCTTTGCTCCAGAACAGCAAAAAAAATGAAGGTCAAGATTAAAGAGGACAGGAGATGTAAGGGAATAACACACCTTGGAGAAGAGCAGCAGAAAACTCATCCAGGGACACTGGAGAGTTTTTATAAGCAAGAAATCGCTTTTATAAAGAAGTCCTGAGACACTTTTTACTGCAGCCAAGGCAAAGTATTTAACCAAAAACCTCAAAAATTAACAACAAAACTTGGCAAACACATGACAAGCACAACAGCTGTCTGGCACTCAACATTTTGGAGATAAACATGCAACCCTGTAGGACACTTTAAAGGGATGGGTTTTTATGAAGTGTTTAACACCCAAATTCAAAGAGGACATAAAAAGTAGGCAATATTTACATCTATCAAAGAGGCCTCACACACTGAGCACCCAAAACCCAACCATGTACTTTAAATGCACGCTGGTGTACCACCGATTTATATCGCTTTCTTAGCTTCATACCCAAATGCTTCACACTCAAGTGCTTTGCTTAGCCCTAGTCACTCTTTTCACATCCTCTACTCTGGACAATGAAGCTGCTGCTATTTTAACAGCAGTTGTGAGATTATGGGTCTCTCAACATATCCAGCTTCAGAAATCCAGAGGAAAAAAATAAATCCCATCTGTTTTCAGCAGCCTGAAGTTTGGAAGTTTCTTCTCCTCTCTCTCGGATCCTGCCTTCCCCGGCCATGTGGTCCAGTTAGCAGACAGTGCCATAGGAACACAGACCTGCCTGAAGACTCCTGTGTGGGTCACCTCTTCTACTTCTTCTCCTGGGAACTGCAGAGGCCCTTAGGCCAAAATCATGACAGGACAATGTTTGACCCTTTCTCAATCAGGGTCATGGAGTACCCGTCAGGTTTTTCAGTATGTTGGTTTTCCTCCTTTCCTCCACGGCATAGCAAGGGAGTTTCTAGCACTCACACAACTCACTCAGGTCTCTCTTGTTCCTAAACAGCGAGTCCAGAGGAGGACATGAAGATGAGAGGGCTGGAGCACCTCTCCTATGAGGACAGGCTGAGAGAGTTGGGGTTGTTCAGCCTGAAGAAGAGAAGGCTCCGGGGAGACCTTAGACCAGCCTTCCGGTACCTAAAGAGGCCTACAAGAAAGCTGGAGAGGGACTTTTCACAAGGGCATGGAGTGACGGGACAAGGGGCAATGGCTTTAAACCGGAAGAGGGAAGGTTTAGATTGGGTATTATGAAGAAATTCTTCCCGGTGAGGGTGGTGAGGCAGTGGCACAGGTTGCCCAGAGAAGCTGTGGCTGCCCCATCCCTGGAAGTGTTCAAGGCCAGGTTGGATGGGGCTTTGAGCAACCTGGTCTGGTGGAAGGTGTCCCTGCCCGTGGCAGGGGGGTCGGAACCAGAGGGCCTTTAAGGTCCCTTCCAACCAAGCTATTCTATGATAAATGACCAGGACAGCTTGGGAGGACCAACACAGAGTTGTTTCCTCGTGAAACAAGAAGCTGTAGCAGTAGGCTGCCATAATGGTCTCAACATCAAAATAGAAACAGGCAAAGAAACAGAAATCAAGTCCCCTAGCCTGTGAGCATGCATTCTTTTTGCACCAAAAGGAGGGAAAAAGCATTGTACGGGCAGGAGTGCCCCCCTGAGCTCATCCCAGGGTGGAGAGGGCTGCAGGAAGAGACATGTCCAGACTCAGGGAGACAGGTGCATCAAAAAGGGCATGAGGTCCCATGTGAGATCCTGCTGCCCCAATACTCTACCTCCAGCAGCATCCAAGAGCATGGCGAGGGAAAAGGGAGTCTAGCACAAGCCTGCAGTCATACATCCCCAAAATACTCTTCCAGCAATTTGCAGCCAGGAGCTTCCTACACCACAGGTGCTGTTTTCAGTCTGGCCTTTCAAAAACAGGCTTTATGCCACTTTTTTTTTCCTAGCAGCTTAAAAGCAGGTTCATTTCAGCACTAAGTTTTTCAAAGGACAAAAACAAAAATAAAAAACCTAATGCACACTAAAAGTTGTTGTGTAACTAGAGGCTATTTTGGGTCATGCTGGATTTGCCACACTCTCTCTGGTCCACACATGCTTCTTCCACTTCCACGGGGAAGACACACTCAGCATATTTTAATCAGCAAATTCTGATAGAACATGCAGGTTTTACCAGACAAGGATCTCCAATTCATGCAACGCATTTCAAGCAAGACAAGTGCTAGAAGCTTAGCAACAAAGGCATTCAATGTCAAACAGGCCTAGAAGACTTTTGCAGCTCTGAGTCAGAAAAGCACCAAAGCATCCTTTGGGATGCCAGCCTAAGACAGTCTGGCTTGTGCAAAAATGATTTTGGTGGAGCTGAACCAAGACCTTGGTGGTTCACCATGAAAAAACAGCCCCCAGCTTTATACTGAGCCTAACTCCCTCAGCTGCGCTTTACTCCATATAACACCTTGACTGTTGCAATTACATATCCAGAAACGAAACCACATTGACATGCCAGGCAGCTTGAATCTTCACCTTTCTAACCCCCAGCTATTTTGTTGTTCATACCTAGGCTTTGACTGGAGTTGTGAAATAGGTGGCCCAGCCTTGCAATGTGCTAGCAGGTATGTACCCTCTTTTGCCCTGGGTAGGAGAAGCATTCGGATTCCAGCACCGCTAATCCTGCCCTGTCTTACAAAGACAACTGGGGAGGAGGGGACAGAAGCATCTCAAGGGAGAAACCTGCAGACTGCAAACAGCTTGGACAGAGGGAGCAAGAGCAAGGCAAGCCCTTGGGGGACACATAGCTTCATGACACAATGAAACGGCCCCTTGCCATCACTCCTATTTGCCACATGTACTATATGTGGGAACAGATCCTGCGAACTGCCACGGCAAGGTAGCACGCAAGGACTGCAGCATGGCCAGACACAACCCCTCCAGCAGGTTACATACTCCTCCATTCCCCAGCTTGGGATTCTCCTAGCGTGGAGGAAAAGGATCCCACGACAAGCAGCTACCTGCAGTTTCTAAAGGCTGTTATCCTCACTGGTCATGTCATGGCCTGTTCCATCACCCCCTGCTCCCCATGCACTAAGCAAGGTCCCAGCATGCACCAGACCTTCCAGCTACATCTCAGGTTCATAGCCTATACCAGCCACAGCCAACCTGCAAGGCATTTTCTTTCCCATCACATCCTGTAGTGACTTTTTTAGTTAGAAGTACCTTAAACCATCTATCACAGCAGTATCAAGGCTCTGCTTTTCTGTCCAGCTCATGCTGGCTATCCTCATGAGCCCAGCTGACCAGATTTCATTCATCCAAGCTCCCTGTGATGGCTGAATGAGACAAGTGACCCCGATTCCACATGCTGCTCTTGTCACCTAACTTTCTTTTCTCTAAAGGAGTTCAAAATGCTTCGTGTCGAGACACAAAGGCTCCCCACTACCTGAAAGGTATTACGCTCCATCTCCAGGTCACTGTAGTGCCAGTCCCATCAGTGCATATGTTTTAGAAGAACAGGATGTCTTACTCTTGGCAAAACTCTCTTGGTCCTTTATTCTCAATCAAGCACAGCACATCATCCACATCATGGGTGGATCAGCCAGGAACCCAGAAGTCAAACTGGAAGAGGTCTGGGTGAAGACCTCAGCTGCTCGTGGAAACAGGTACATCCCACTTACCCAAACACCGGCTCAAAGCCTGCCTCAGCACCGAGAAGCAGCCACACACATTTGTCCCACAATGTGTTACCCCACAAGGTAAAGACTTCCTCAATTTCAGCCATTAAAACAGGACATCTACTGACAGGCATGTCATGTTTTAGTGGCTGAAACATCACAGCAGTGCTTGCTTTTACAGAACGCCAAATACGTTGCAATGCTGATCTGACTTCTTCCATGGGCCACTCTCTCAGTGGTGGTACAAGGTGTGGCAGCTTGGCACCCTTTCATCGTCCCTGTACAATCTGCTAAGCCCTGACTGCGTAGGCGGTGGCAAAGAGCTAGCTGTGCTCCTGTCTACTGCAGCATGTCAAGGCCCGCCATGGTGTCTGCTGCAGGGATCAGACCCACCACTTGGTAGAAGTGAGGAGCAACGAGGACACCATTACCTCCCACTGTCTGAGCAGAGCGCAGAAGAGACACTATTGGAAGAGACAGAAAGTCACAAACAGCTGCGAGCCGATGAGTCACACAGACATATGTTAGCTGCTACTTTAAAAGACTCCAGAACAAACAAAAAAATTAGGTACATGAAAAAAAACCTAGATCCTCAACCTGTGTCAGTCCACAATCTCCACTGAAGTTATTGAGCCACGGATCTGCAGCAGCTGAGACCACCATGGTACGTTATGGGAAGGTGTTAAACTAAGTAATCGTGGCAGAGCTTGGCATTTTTGGTGGGGCTCCACCCCATCACTGCTGATGGGAAGAGTCAGGACTATATCCCAAGCAGGCTGTTTTCTAACTACTGTCACTGAGGACTGGAGAAAGGGCCCTTCACTGGCTGTCTCTGGAGAAAGGTGTCAGTCTGAAGGGAGACACAAGTGTTCTCCAAATTGGCAAGGGAAACATCTTGGTGAAAACAGCATTAAATATTCAGGGTCTAGCCTCTCTCAACTGCTTAGCTAGCATCTTTTACTCACATTTAATTCCCATGAACCAACCCCCACTTGCAAGCTAAACAGATTATTTTATTCCTTCAGCATTTATTTGCAGGTCAGCTGCGGCGCAACGCTGCAAGTGCCCTTTGCCAATTCAGATTCATCCCCTCTCTAAAACTATTTTCAAGCTACAAAAGGACAAGAGGGATGCTAAGTTTGGGGTCTACAGAATTTGACTTGCCATCTGTTCAAGGCAGAAAGAGCATAACAGCATCCAATAAGATGCTGAGGACAAGCATCCTCCCAGCAGCTGTTTGAGCAGTGATCAGTGCCATTGGGTTCCTCTCAAATATTTTGCCTGCAAATTCTGGATCTGCTAACCTTAGCTTAGATCTGGGACTATTTTTAGAAGCTTGAATAAAAAGTAGTCATCCAGTGGAGTGCTTTTCACTTCCCATTTTAGACATTACATCCTTAGCCCGAATGTAATCACTGGCTGAGCTGTTCAAGGTCAACTCATATTTCAGTCATCCCATCACTCCATTCCACCTTTGCCCTGACGTCTCACCGGACTTGTTCCAAGAGGTGGTGTCTTTTAGGTTGAACACAAAAGGTCTGTACGCACTACTCACCCGTCTTTGGAGAGGTGATGCCGGAAGAAGTCATTGGCTGCCAGTTTGATAGCCTTTTCTGGTGTCACTAAAGTCAGGTTCACTGCAGCCCCTGGGCAAGGAAAAGAGGAAAACGCCATCAGAGAATGAGAATGAAGGAACTGTTAACTGGGTCTTTCAGGAATGTGTTGTAACTCCTGCTCAAAACCAAGGACTGATGAAGGAGAGCTCCCAATGCACCAAATGGGTTTAGAAACATGAAACATCACTGGAAATTAATAGGATTTCTGCCTCCCAACACCTTGGGTTTTTGAAAACATCCCCTGATGTGTTTCTACTCCATTTGCAATGTGTTTTTGTGTAATTTCTTTAGCTTCACTACTACCTCCCACCATGCCCACACACATCCTCTTCTTTTATCCAAGGATGCATTCCTATGAATCCAGAAGGATGCAGATCAGACCTTCAAGAAAGGAGTACAAGTTCAATTAATAACCAGTCCCAACTCCTTTGCAAATATTTTTGTGACGCTGAGAAGCAAAAAACACCTCCCACCCCATATTCTTCCTAGTGTCCCTGCCTCACCACCTCCAAAAGCAGAGCAGCTTGGCTTACCAGGCAGCCCAGAAAAGCCAGAGCCATTGAAAGACCTGCAAGCTGGTTGAAGTCAACTGGCTCATCCGCACGGAAGTCAACGAGCTCTAGACCAACCCTTGGAGTGAAGTGGCTTCCCTTGTACATCACCACTGGGGGTCAGCCTCAGAACAGCCACTGTTGAAGTGGCTTTTTGTCCACCACAACCTGCAGCCTGCAGAAATTCCCCTCTGAGCGCAGTGGCAAGGCTTGCCGGGGAGGGGGGGACCTGGGCTGTAAACAAGCCTTGGCTCCCCCATCATCCACCAAAATCCCCTTTTGTCAGGGGCAACAAACAGCAAATCCCTGTATTGTGCCTGCCACAATGAAAGGTCTGCATGGCCTGGCTGCCTGCTGTGGGCCACGGACATTGGCATTCATGCAACGCAGCTTTCAAGCTGCCCTGGGGGAAATGAGGTGAGGGGAAGGCCAGTCCCTTCTGAACATACTGGGTTTGGCACCATTAGATTCATGCTCCAGAATATTCTCCTGCCTTTAAATCCTCTGGCTCAAAAAGGCTTCCAGTGGATGACGGCAAGCTTTCCCCGCCTGCGCTGAAGCATACTGAGCTCCAAGCCCTCTGGAGGAGCTTTGCCTGAGACTTGCTAATGGTCTATGAACACCTTTGCAAGGACAAACACAAATACTAGGGTATTTATGTTTGCTGTAGAGATTTAAAAAACTTGTCCCAAAGCTCTGTTTTCCAAAGAGAAGCAGACAGAGAAGCCTGCGCTCCCACTAGGCTCCAAAGACCTGGCGGGGTTCATTTTCAGGAGGTTTGAACACAAGTTGACAGGAGCTATTAGGGCTTAACACACTTAAAGAAAGGCAACTTGGTCCTCTCTTCCTCAGGATGGACTCCCCTCCCTCCAAAAATTATTAAAGAACTCCTAAATTAGATATTGAAAGACATAGGTTTAGGGAGACTTTCCTCAGATTAGCAAGCAAAGTCACAACTGGGACTTCTGGGACCAGGACACGGGAATCCTTGATCCACATCCTCTGCTCAGAGGACATATCCCCATCATGCGGGAAATCACAGCAAGAAAACAGACAGCCTTTGCTGGGCAGCCCAACACGTTTTCCCCCGTTCTGACTGCCATGTTCAGATTTTGCAGAAAACACAGAGTGAGGCTGCCTTGTAGCAAGCTAAGCCAATGCATTCACTCCACATTGGCCATGACATCCAACAAATGTCATCATCTTCTACAGGAGCCAAATTAACGTCCAGGGAGCAGGGCCACTCTCTTGCACTCCTGGGTTTTTGCAAGCTTAAGTGTACCAGTGATTGCCTGCCTTCAGTTTGATGTGCTTCTGATGGGTGATGATGCTTGACACACCATGTCCCCCCACCATTGCTCTTGCATGTGATGAGAAGCCACACGGACATGACCCTCATGCTCTACCTCCACCTTTTAACGTTAATCATATCAAGATCTACAAAGCAAATCCACACAGCCCAATTTTTAAGTGGAGGTAGCTACCTGTAAAGTGTTTCCTCCAATATCAAGATGAAGACAACTTCAAGCCCGCTCCTAATAAAGTAAAACACCTGTACATTACTGACATGCAGCATCAATAACCATTTTCTTGGAAAAACAAGGAAAGAGAAAAAAAAGAATAAACCTGCTACTGTAATACCCGTGCAAAGGGTTCATTGAAAGAAAGAAAACAAACTCCAAACTGTTAAGCAAGAAAGGTAAGCGAGAAGCACACTTCCATGTGCTGACCTCCTCCAGGAACCAAGAGGTTTTCACAGCAATTTCTCCTTCAATTGCAAATAAAGTAGAGAGTAAAAACCACACAATATACAGAGAAAAGTTAATGAACCTGGGTTTTCTCCTACATCTTTGATATTTTCAGTAAAGCTGCTTAGCAGAGAATGGATAATCCCTGTCCTCAATAACCCACAACAGCTTCAATTCACTGGAGGAGGAGCAATTAGATACTTCAGCTGCTGGCTGTATGTTTCCCATGGTGTTTTCTACCTTTTTACAGAATCTCATAGCTCTTCAATTCTAGCTATGCCAATGACTATTTCCCTAACTAAAGCTAACCTTGGCCTACAGGAAATGCTACGTGTACCAAAAGCAACGACAGACAAACAGAAAGCAAAAATAAATTGCAATCATTACAAAATAGAAAGCATTTCGAGAAGAAGTACAGAAGCACTACAAAGAATGAAATCAAGTAGAGGCAAAACCAGTTGTTTGCCAACTGAACTTGTAAGTGTCCTCTTCTCACCAGGTTTTGTTATTAAAATACATTTCTTATAGAAGCCTTTATATACCACCAGCAACCTACATAACAGGGGGATTGAGTCATCCCCAGTGCGGCACTGGTGCACGCGGGAGATATTATTAGCAGAGGCCAGGGAAGGCTGTCATGCTACTGTAGCTAAACTGCAGTTACCCTCCAAATGTCATCACCAGCAAAGGGCATTTCCCCAGCCTGATCTAGGCCTTTGGCTTCCACCAGTTAGGCTAAATGGCTGGTCTGCAAACAGCAGTGGGACTTTCCAGGATGCGTGCTGAGATTTATAGGTGGCTTCTGGATGGACTGTAGCAGGGAGCAGAGAGAGCACCTCTCCAAGGTGCCCTTCCACTGGTGTTCACGTGGTTCAGGAGCCCACAGACACCATGGATTCATTCGCTAGGCATCATGTCTGAAGGCAGCACACCGGTATCCCTTGGGCACAGACAGGGCTAGACAGCATCATCCAGCTTTGAGGTGCTGCTGCTACCTAGATGTTATGGAAAAAACATGAGAAAAAAAAACAACTGCCTCTTCCTCCTCCCCTAAACAAACCCAAGAATCTCTGTAGCTTTGGGGGAAGAACTCGAGAAAAACATTGGGATTGCCTTATGCATCACACAATTCATTATGAGCTACTCGTACAGATCAAGGACTGTCTGCCCACGTGTACCCCTTAAGAGATGACTTGCAGAAACGCATCCTACAAGCTCAAGTCTCTCTCCTGTCCGCACCGAGCTTTAATTCACACATGAAGGAGACCTGAAGTCACACAGTGGGAATGGCTGCACCAAAGCAGATCCTTTCTGTCCTCCGACGGAGGCCGAGTGCCCTGCGGGGAGGACTGACGCACTTGTGACTCCTCCATAGGGCACAGCAGCTGCCACTTTAGCACATTAACATATAATCCTCCCAATTTCAGCTTAAAGGCTGAAAATAAGAGCTTGTGAGTCATACAGCAACTTCTGCTGGTGAACTGGGACAGATGGAGGGAGCAGGAATCAATCCCACCATCTGATTTCCATCTTCCCCTGTCTGCAAGGCTGAGCCATCTCTTTACCTTCTTCCCAGAAAAGTACTCACATTCTTCATGAATCTTGGATCTATTTTACCTGCCCATCCTCTCTCTGAGAGGGAGGGAAGGGCTGCTAATGTCAGCTCACAGAATTGAGGCACAGAGACCAGGACTGCTGTACTTGGAGGATTCACCTTTGCACCTCGCCCATGCTGAAATATCTACGAATTTCTGGAAGGAGCTGGAGCTATTCACAAAAGTCCTCTCAAAACCCAGCTCCTCATTTAATAGTCAGAGGTGACAAGTAAATTCAAGCTACTATCAGCTCCCTGAACAGAGGGTGTACAAAGTTAGCGGGACATGGAGCAAGCTGACCAGACTCATGATGGTTGGGAAAAGCAAGAGCTACGCAAAACCCTCTGCATCCTTTGAGATTTCTGCTTGGGAGTGAAAAGTGGCCTGGAGACGCACATCCCCTCCACCACTCGACACCCTTACAGGACTGAGCTGTGTCTCCCAAAAGCCCTCATGGGTCCTACAGTCTCCCCTGCAAGTTTCCAGACACAGCTTCTTCCTTCTGCTCCCCAGCAAGCAGCCTGCCACTCCATATTTACAGCCAAAGTTAATGCAGGCTCCATTCCTGGCTAGGAACACAGAAGCAGCCAGCTCTAGGAAAAATCAAGGGGCAACGTTTTGCGGCTAGCATTGAAGATGGAGCTTGCCAGGATTCCTCAGGGTTATTTGTCTTGTTGCCTGCTCCCAGGGAAGCTGGCAGGAAGCAGCCAATCCAACCCCGGCATCCACTGCACTCCCCCAAAACGCCCACCAGCAAGTTGGGCAAGAAACGCTGCCTCAACAGCCAGCGCCTGCTCCCAGGCCGGCCGGCTGCAGCGTCTGCGTTTCCTTAGGAGCTATGGAAGAAGTGGCAAAAGATGCTACTGCTGCCAACAGCAAGGCACCAGCATCTCCGGACTCCAGCTTGAAAAAACAAAGAGCAAGGACTCACTTAATCAAAGCAGTACTTTAATCAGGCTTTATCAGTGAACGAGTGCCACAAAGAATGCTATCTGAATGCCTCAGAGATAAAAACTGCATATTCAGGCAATTGAATAGCAGTATATAAAATGAACCAGAGTTCAGTGTCAACTAAGCCAGCTGGACTGTGCTGAAAGCTAAGAAAGGTATTCCACATTTTTCTCTGCTACAACTAAAGTCAGAATTTGGCCTGCTGTTCCTCTCTCCTCAAAATCTTTAAAAACTTTCAAGGATTTTGTGTTTAAACTAGTAAAGGTATAATGTCAACTGAGGAACTCACCGCTGCAAAGACAGCCCGAGCCAAGGAGCCAGGAGATTTCTAGCAAGTTAGCATACAATGACCAAACAACTGAAGCTCCACCATGAGCCAACCTCTGATTTTCTTAACTCTATCCCAGCCAAAACCAGCACACCATCCCAAGAGAGTTTTTTCTGGTGGCAGATGATTTTTAATTTTTTTTTTAATTGCAGCTCGTCTTTATACTTGAACTTGGGCATGCTTGAGAGACAGCTGGTTTCGGAGACAAGCTACCAACCAGGTGGGACAGCAAGCCTGACAACATTGGTGGCAGGCTTTGACATAAATTCAATCATCAACCACAAAGTAAGACACTTCAAGAGGTTTGCTGCCACCCCTCTGACAAAAGTTGCTGTGCCCAAGTTGGGAAACACACACCCAGAGTCCTGAAATAAAGTCCAGCAGCTTCACTTAAACTGCTAGTAAAGATGAACGGTAAGGTCTAACACCAAAACAGCTGCGAGCCAAGCAGCCACCTGGTGCAGAGGAGTTTATTTTCAGAAAAAACTGCACCTTTCAACATCTTAGGATATTGCTAGGTTATTGCTCTATAAGCCAGAGAGTATGGGCTTTTCCTCCCCCTTACGCACCAGTGCTTCCAACACAAAAGCTGCGCGTGCCTGACTCAGCTTTACTTACCTCTGTACATGCCAAAGTAGCCTTCCGACCGAATTGTTTTAATGAGGCAGTCAGACCTGCAAACAAAACACAGAGAGATAAACCACAGCAGCTCAAAGGCGGGTGAGAGCAGAGAAAAAACAAACCAAATCTCTTGGAGTGGTTTTCATTTATGAGCTGTCAGCAAAACCCGGAGCCGAGAAGGGAACCACGTCAGCTGCTGAATGAGCCATTGTTCAGGCCTGAGTGCAATTTCAGCCCCTAATTCACAGGGGCTTTGAAACCCCCAGCTCACCCTGCACGTGCTGTCTGCTTTCTAGAAACACAAAAGGGGAAAAGTGTCACTGCAAGGGCTGTTTATCCAGGGTCTCCCATGGCAAACTCACATGAGATGCTCTAACAAGTGGATCTCCATGCACATGTTTTTAAATCCAGCTCTGGAAGGGAAATAAGGGGGGTCAAAACCCCCAATGCTGACTTGCTTGACTTCTGCCGTGAAATTCAACACAAGGCACACAAAACCTAGATGATCTGAACGCTCAGTCATCTGTAACCTCCCACGCAGATTAAAGTGCTTACTTTTAACACACCAGGTTCCACAGCAGGCAGCGAGCACTCAGGCTCTCGCCCTGGGGAGAGCACAGCAGGATGCTGTGGAGGTCCGCTCCAAGGGGAAAAACTCTCACCTTCTTTGTTTCAACTACATTTACTGCAAATGGGAAAACTGTGCAAAGCACTGGAATGGCTGAAAGCCTTTCGAAGGCACAGACACACACCTAACAAATCCAGAGGTGCAGTTCAGGAAGGCAGCGCAGATCCTCAGGCCGCATGAAGCCTGGGTGCTGGCTGAAGGTTATTTTGGGGTCTTTGGGAAGGGACAGGTACTTGCCGTGGCCATAGGGGAACGGAGAGATGCACATGCATGCATGTATACACAATTAAGGAACAAATGGCTTTTTTAAGTAGTAATAAGGGAAGTGTAGCTGATGAAAACAAGAATGCATATCTAAGAGATTTGGCAACAGAAGGAGTAAACTTCATCTCCGCTCTGCAGTGGTGCTGAGGTGGGAGAGAAGGGAATACAGAGTTCCCTCAAGGGTTTTATGGCCCAACTTGGGTCAAGGCTCTTGTAGGGTACCCTGCGTTATTTGTGAAGAGCCCATCCTGCATTGCTGCCAGCTGCGGCAATGAGTTTCCTCTCTGCTGGGACTCCCCGCATCCTTTGGGACCCCATCTTTCACATGCCCCACCCCAGCTTCTGCAGTTTTCATGCACCCACCTCGTTCTTGGGAGCAGCCCCCCTAACACATGTGCACACCACAGCCTACAACCTAAGCTCATGCACAATTACATGACGTCAGCTAGGGCAAGGAGGCCCGGAGACTAAAATCATCAACATACAGAGTATTTCCTTCCTATTCCCACTCCCACAGTGGCTAAGGGAGCTGTGGGTGTTCAGCCTGGAGAAGAGGAGGCTGAGGGGAGACCTGATTGCTCTCTAAAACGACCTGAAAGGAGGGTGTAGCCTGGTGGGGGTTGGTCTCTTCTCCCAGGCAACTAGCTGCCTGGGAGAAGGGGAAATGTCCTCAACTTGTGCCAGGAGAGGTTTAGATTGGATATTAGGAAGAATTTCTTCACCAAAAGGGTTGTCAGGCACTGGACCAGGCTGCCCAGGGAAGTGGTGGAGTCCCCATCCCTGGAGGGATTCAACGGACGTGTAGATGTGGTTCTTAGGGACATGGTTTAGTGGTGGGCATGGTCGTGCTATGTTTACAGTTGGACTTGATGATCTTAAAGATCCTTTCCAACCTAAACGATTCTACGATTCTGCCTCAAATTCTCCTGGGCAGGAAAGAGGAAAATATTGCTGAGGAGGAGCAGGGAACAGGTAACACTACTTCTGAACTAAGTGGCAGGAGGACAGGACACATATCATCAGTCCCAGTCCCCTCTCCCCTCTCAACGACACCAGTACTTTTGGAAAACTAAGGTCTGACTCTGGTTCCTAGGATAAAACATCTTGTGCTGAGTGTGGTGCACATTCCCACAGCAGATACACAGCCCTAAGCATCCCACACAAATCCCAGGTCAGTTTGGTGGGCTGGATATATTCACACCCTCTTTTCCTACAACCTGCAGCACTTGATTTTTTTGGACATAGTACCACTGGGGTAACTACAGCATGTGTCAACCTGTGATCCTTCAAAAGGTCTGCATGCAGGGCTCTGGATGGGGAATGGGTGACTGCTGTCTCTTTTTAAAACTGCAAAGGCCATTTGAAACTTCCTTTCAGAAGAAGAAACAAACACAGCCAAGGAAGGATTACCAACATGAGAGTCATGGAAACAGAAGAGAGGCAGAAATTCCCTCAGGCACCTGATGGTGGCCCAGCAGAGAACCAAACATGGCTCCTTGTGTTTTGGTCCTGAGCCCTGAGAGCAGTGAACATGCTGCTCCCGAGCAAGGAGATCTGCCCTCTGCAGAGATCTCGCCTGCTCGGCTCAGCGGCCTAAATAGCTGCTTTATTTGCTTTATCTGCTCTAATGCAGCTTGGTTCAAGATTGGCTTTCCTGGGGACAGTCCAGCTCCTAGAAATGCTGAACTCACCTAAAAGAGGCAAACAAAGTGGAAGGACCCCCCATCAAAAGCCCCAGGGGATGCTGCTCATGTGGGTGGTACTCACATGCTGGTGTACATCCGCTGGCCATTCTGCTGGTTCTGCAGGCGAGTTTTTGCCAGGTCAATGGGAAATACACAGGTCACCCCGATCAGCCCAGCTATCCCTCCATTGATCAGCTTGGCAGGTAAACTGTAAGGGGACGAGATGCAGAGAAACAGCTTATCTTAGCACTGGGATAACGTCAGGGGA